TATATATATATATATATAATACATTTTATTTCTTAGGCCTTTCTGTCTCTTAAGGACACCATGTATAGCCTCTTTCCCCTCCAACCGCTGCATTGGTTCATTGTAAATACATTCATAGAAGTATGCATAACAAATATAAAAATACACTTTTGTGGCCGTTTTGTGGATGATGTTAGTGACATTGGTGCTAAATTTAAAGGTTTAAATGTTAGATGTTGTAAGTGTCAGATACCTCCCTCAGATGTGTACCATTTGTTTAGTACATTTATACATGACATTTGACCTCAAGCTGACATCCTTTGCTGTCCTTAGACTATTGACTATCGAACGTGTTTAGGACTGTACAAATATAACAAGGATCAAGAAGTTAGACATACACTTCTTAAAGGAAGGTCAAAACCATTGGGGCACAGAGACTGAGCTCAAGGATGAGCTAAAGGCAGACATGGGTAAAACTTTTTGACTCGCGGGCCACAGTGGCTCCCAAAATTTGATGGGTGCCGGGTCAGGACCAAAATGTTAAAATGCTTTCAGCCTTGTCTGTCATCTTTTGGGGAAATGCGAGCCTTGCAGGGGAAAGGCAGAAATGTAATGAAAATAGAAAATAATAACATAATTTGGGCCTTAGTTTGCCTAAGCCTGGCTAATGTGTACTTCAGCCATGTGGCCTGCAGGGGAGCTGAAGTAGCAGCTCCTGTTCTTTCCTGCCCTCACTTTCTCCATTAGCAGCTAGCATCAGAAAAATACTGTTTATCTTCATTAATGCTTGCATGGACACATTTGTGATTAGGGTCTGAGGTCGATCATGAAACAAAAAAGACAAATTGGATAATTAGGTGATTGTGGTCAGGGCAGACGGGCACTGCAATCCACAGCCAACACAGAATAATAGGAGAGAAAGCCCCCCCCCCCCGCTCTGCCTGGACTGACCCCAAATTGTGTCCTCACTGATGTGTGGAGGAGGTTTCACCCTGCAGTCAGGCACAGCACACGGCTGTTGGTCACTGATTGAAGGGTGAAATGCTTGAAGCTGGGCAGGTCGAAGCTTAACAGGACTCATTCTTGCAACACAATAAATATAGGGATTTCAGACCATCGTTGGGTGACAGTGGTCTTCTCCCCCACCCCCAGAGCACTGCCCCCACTAGGGTCTAGCTGCCCCATGACAAGGACTCCTAGCGGGCACTCTCACGGAAGAAAGAGAAAACACATATTTTATATTTTACCTCAGTAGGGAACGCATAGGTTGTGACTTTTTACAGATATTTTTTTCGAAAATGTATCAGTTGCTCTAAGTATTTGCTTTAAGCAGCTGCTGTAAACAATAATAGATAGTGGGGACATTGGTTGCTCGGTGAGAATTCTTGCCTGCCACGCGGGAGGCCAGGGGTCGATTCCCTGCTAATGCCCTGCTTTAGTCAGGGGGATTAGCTCAAACGGTGCAGTGCTCGCTTATTTTTTCTAGTGGTTCCATAGTGTGGCGGTTATCACGCCTGCTTACACCAAGGTCCTGGGGTCGAGACCCAGAGGAAGAAGGATAACATGAATTAAAGACATTTATGCCTCACAATATTTTCTTTAACATTGAAAATATGTAAAAATATGTAAAAGAAATCAATATGCAGTTGCATCTCAGACTGAAAATGCTTTCCCGCATTTTCCCGGTGGAAATCTCTGTAATCTCTCTGCATATGCAGACGATATCACATTATTTATAACCTAATAAAAAGTAATCACACAAAAAAACTCCATTGATCCATATCAATGCATTGAACTCATATTGGAGATCATGTTAGAGAACGCTGCACATTGGTTTGTGCTGCATTCACTTCCTTTTCATTTGCGTTGTTTATTGGGAACTTTTTGCCCATTATGGCGTCGAACTATAAGTCAGACATTTTTGATATGTAACATTCTAGATCATGACGTTACCACTGTGTTAGTGTTAGTGCTTGTTGAGTTTTAGCCTCTTACAAAAGTGCGCAACTAATAGATAGATGGATAGGTAGATACACCCCTCATACATACCCCACAGTTTCCATGACGACACCTACACTTGATTGACAATGTAGTTCCTTTATAAAGCATTTCTTCCCCTTATGACCACTTAGAGCAGCGGTCTCCAACCTTTTTTGCGCCACAGACTGATAAAATGTCTGAAAATGTTTTCAAGGACCCGTCTTTGAGGTGTTGCGGATAAAAACAACTAAATAAAATGATACCACAGGCATAAAAACTGGTATTTTCTAAATACAATCATAAACGTTAAGCCACTGTGTATGTACCTTTATTAGCACCATGTTTGTTTTCTCTTCCTTTTGCTAGCTCGGGGGTGTCAATTTAGCGACAATGTATTATGTGTTACCGGCCGGAACAGACCTTTTAGGAAGGTAGCGGATGTAGCTAAGACGTGTGCCCGAGGACAGCATCTAGACATGTATCAAGTGTGAGTCATAGACAGATGCGGCGGAGAGAATCCGGTAATTTTTAAAAATAAAACGTTGTTCAGAATCAGATAATTAAATAATGTAAGTTTTGTGGAGCGGGGGTTGGGGACCACTGACTCAGAGGACTCAACACTACAGCCATCTATCTACGGCTGGGACACAATGTCACAGCTACTGAGCTACAGCCTCCCATAAAG